GCTTAAATACATGTTTATTTTGGTCATTTCTAATACAATGCTCTTTTCTAAATCTCACACTGTTTTCTTTTTCATTTTAGAGAATATAAAAATTATTAATTTGTATCATAATGAAAATTTCAAAGATCGTAAGCTATCTTCCTCAAACTGCTGGTATATGGAGTTCTCATCGGAAAATACAACTCAGTGATCCCCGACGACACTTACTACAAGGTAACGTTAATTATAACCTACATTTTTTGCTTCGATTCTTTACTCAATCAATTGGTGATGTTGTTCAATGGAGAACCTTTTTTCTATGATGTTCATGTAACAGTTGTATTGATTTTGACTAAAATTCCCCCAAAAAAAGTTTTAGCCCCAAAAATCATGTAATCTGAATTGAAATTGTTTAAGTTCTGTCAATTTATATAATTTCACTCATTTATTTTCTAATGGTAACCATTTTTTGGTTGGGTTTTCAATGTGTTATTGTTTGCTTTTATCCCATCAGAATTCACTCATTTATTTTTTTATATCAAGGGCTTGAAGAAAGACACCATATTAAGATTGATGTCTCAAGTTTTACTTTTGCCAGGTACTTCAGGTTTTTTGAGTTACGACAGACTATATGTTCAAAAGTTATAAAAACTTTACTGTTTCAGATTATTTATGTAATATATGTGCTAAATAACATTGAAACTTTAAAAAATTTGTTAATTACAGATTTGCAAACATTTATTGATCTTTATAGATCTTTTGCACATTGAATAGCACCTCGTCGCAGAAGTACAAAATTTTGTTTACATAGAAAGATGATAGTTTCCAAGGAGAATACCAGCCGGTCACATAATTACCAAGCGCTTGAAGACATAAAATTATGGGTGTTATTATGCAGGATTTGTAGGGGTAAAATGATAAATAAGGTTCCCAAAACCAAAAACAAAGTCATTGTGATTATGATTTAAATTACCATGCCAACGTTTTGAACAACATACCGGTGAAAATGGAGAAAATATGAATAAATATGATTCAAAATTAATAAATTAAGTAACATCCAATAGCAGATTGATAAAAATAACAGAATGAATGTGCTTTAAAAGTCGTAATCAATAATCATAGATGTGAAAACAATTATTTTTACATAAAGTGTGATGTTTTGTCCGTAATTACTAAAAATCACCTTATACCAATCATTTCGTAACTTGAAAATTGAACATGTGTGTTACATGGTTTAGAATTCAAAAAAAAAATCTAGAAAAATAAAACCGTAGTATTGAAAATATTATTTTGTTAAGTATATAATCGGTACATCATCTTCCTCCCTTGAATAAATAAATATACAAATACTACCCTCTAATTACTTGAAATGACTAAGATGCCCCTTATCATAAAGATAGTAATTCACAACGCATACGTAACAACTTGAAAGTGATCTGACTCATTCTTTTGCCTACATACCACAGTCAACAAAAAAACCTTGAATTCCCTAAATTTATAACGTTTTATGAACTTATAGAGTAAAAATTTCCCCATTTTAAAAAGATAAGAAAGGTAGTTTGCTTGTATGTTTCTATGAGTACAAGGAAAAAAACAAAAAAAAAATGAAAATTTGTCGTAAGAAAAACCATTATAACCCCAACCCTGTGCCATAACCTTATTTGAGTTGGTGGTTATTGAAATACCATTTGATTTTATCACAAATGGCCGCTATAACTGGTGTTGTCAAGAAAAAGCAACCTACTTTCAGTATTAAATTTTAAAATAAACGAAAATGGAGAATGCAGGGGCAATTTAGGTATATTGGTATATAGTTTTTATTTAATCCTATTTTTTCTTTTATTAAAGAACAACGAACATTAGCCTAACTTTTAAACTTACATTGGATCGACATGAATTAAAGGGGAAACAAAATGGTCAAAATGACAATTTTGAACAAAAAATATATATTTTTTTGTGTTAATTGTTTCATATCAATGTATTTTTATTTTATATGCTTAAGTTGGCAAATTACGAAAAAATATTTTTGAATCAAAATAAAGTCATTTTGACTCCAATTTTCTTCAACTTAACAGTTTAGGAAGTATAATGCCAAAAAGGGATTATGAGTAAAGATAAAAAAACAAGCAATTGTACTTTGTTGTCTGTATGTTTCTATGAGTAAAGGTAAAAAAAACAAAAAAACAAAAGTAAATTTATCACTATAAAATTTTAAAGTAAACAGAAGTGGAGAATGCAGGGGCAATTTGGGTATATTGGTGTATTATTTTATTTTATCATATTTTTCCAGTTATTAAAGAACAAACATTAACCAAGCATTTAAACTATATATTGGGTTGACATGAAGAAAGGATCAAAATGACAATCTTGAACAATTGTTTTTTATTTTAATTGTTTCATATCAATGTAAAGCTATTTTTAATGTTTAAGTGGACAAATTACTTAAAAAAAACAGTAAAAATGATCAAATTTGACAAAAAAGTATTTTTGAATCAAAATAAGGTCATCTTGACTCCGAATTTCTTTAACCTATCGGTTTAGGAAGTATAACGCTAAAATGAGACTTATTTAAAAAAAAATAAACTTTCTACTTGTGATCTCAATATTAAAATTTTAAGGTAAACACAATTGAAGGTTGTAGGGGCAATTGCGGTTAACAATGTAATTAGTTAGTAAATTTTATGTAATTTAAGTAAAAGGAAAAATACCACAAATTGTCAAGTGGAAAAAAATTAAATGAAAATAATAAGAAAAAGTCATATGACATAATGTTTTAGAAGATTGCAAGTGACAAAAACATTATTAGGGTAGATTCTTTTATCACTTATTGTACTGGGTTCCATCATATGTTTAAAACCATGAACTTTACTTTCTTTAGTTGTTAAATGACGAACAAATATTTTTTTTGTTATCCTTTTTTCATAAAATTAATAGTTAGTTGATGTAACTTATTTTGCTTTGATAAGCAGTTAGATAGAAAAGAACAGCTTAATAATATATATAATGTATTTTTCTCACTTTATATTTATATTTAAAAGAGTAAAATATTTGTCAAACATAATGGATGTTTTAAAGTTGTTTTACTCTAATAACGTATAATACAGAAGTTATGAATATTGTTTTTCCTTTTCAGTCGTGGTCTCTACGGGTTTAAATTTATTATAATTCGTTTCACACAAATAAAATGTTCATTATACAAACTCGTGACTTTTATAAAATAAATGGATTTAAATGTGTAATTAAATACTTACAAATTACAAAATTATTAAAAAAATACAATATTACAATTCATAAGTTTTTCTAATTTAATAATATATTATTTTATTATATAATCATTTTTTTTAATTCTATTTAAAATTATTATCCGGGTTCCACGGGTTTTAACGTATAACATAATAAATAACATATTATCTTTAGATAGTTAGAGTAGAGTAGAGGGAGGCCTCTCCGTACTAACAAAACCTAACGTTCTAAAGACTAAAAACAACCCACGATCCAAATGAATCCCGCAGATGTCACTAATCAGGACTAAACTCAAACACCTTTCCTGCATCCGCAACTTCTCACACTTCTCTACTCCCCACAAACATCACCACGGCCAACACGACGACGGCCGCCGCCGTCAACCACAGGCTCCCCCACAAGACCCACATACCCTCTTAAAAGAGGACCCAGTTCAAGTCCTCTCTGATTTATGGGTCCGAACCTTCTCAGACCACAACCAGACTCCATTCTTCAACCTCACCGGTTTCCTCTCCAAACTCGACCTATGGGTCTTAGCCTACCAACGCACCTGCGCCCACTTCACGGGCTCTTTTCCCTCGCGCAACGCTCTCCAATCGCACGTCCTCACCGACCTCCTCTCTCTCCGGAACGCCGTCGTACACGGCCAGTTTCAATGGAACATGAAAACCCATCCCTACATCCAAAACCCAAACGATAAAATCCCTTTTTCGAAGCTCTCAAGTCGCAAGCTTCGTACGATTTCAGACTCCATTGAAACTCCGTTTCAAGACACTGTCGTTCAAGAATTGCTTTTGATGATTCTGGAACCTATTTTTGAGCCGAGATTTTCGCCCAAATCACACGGGTTTCGCCCTCAGAGGAACGCGCATACGGTAATTCGAACAATTAGGAGTAATTTTGCTGGGTATGTATGGTTCTTAAAAGGCGATTTAACCCTAATTTTTGATAATGTCGATGTCAATTTATTGATGGGGTTTGCTGAAAAAGGTGTGAAGGATCAGAAAGTACTGTCTTTGATCAAATCAGGACTAAAAGATCTACCAAAACCAGTTCATCTTTCCAATGAGAAGGTATGGAGGAGAAAAAACAAGAAAAAGGGGTTGAAGAAGAAGAAAGTTCTTGATGAAAATGAGGCCAAACCAGACCCTTATTGGCTCAGAACTTTCTATGATTTTGCTCCTATGGAAGCACTTAAGGTACCCAATTATGGCTATTGTGGGATATTAAGTCCTTTACTTGCTAATATATGTCTTAATGAATTAGACCACATGATGGAGGAGAGAATCCTTAGTTTTTCTCAGTTTTCAAATGATAATTTCATTACAAATGCTTCCACTACTGATAGTTATGGTAGTTCTACTCCATCATGGCCTGAATTCGTTCGTGGAGGTGGAAAAGATAAAACCAAAAAAATGGATTACATTCGTTATGGAGGTCATTTCTTGATTGGAATTACAGGATCAAGAAAGGATGCGGTTGAAATAAGGAACACAATAATCGAGTTTTCCTCAAGTAAATACGGGATAACAATAAACGAATCAAATCTAGAGATCGAACACATAAGTAGAGGTGTTCAATTCTTGGATCATATAATTTGCCAAAGAATAATCTATCCAAATATACGTTTCGCATCAAACGGTGGTCATATAGTGACTCAAAAAAGCATAGGAATTTTGCTTTCAGTCACAGCAAGTTTGCCTCAATGCATACGACACTTCCGAAGGCTTAAATTAGTAAAAGGTGATAAAGATCCCGAACCTTTACCTTGCACTCCAATGCTTTATTGTGGTCAAGCTCAAACGAATGCTCAAATGAATAAGTTTCTTGAAACAATGGCGGATTGGTATCGATACGCAGATAACCGAAAAAAAATTGTGGGCTTTTGCGCGTACGTGATTCGAAATTCGGTGGGGAAATTATACGCCGCGAGGTATAAAATGAAATCTCGGGCGAAGGTTTTCAAGAAAGCGACACGCGATCTTAGCCGTCCACTTAGGCAAAGTATGGATAATCGGACACCCGAGTATGCGGAATTGTTAAGATTAGGGCTTGCGGATGCTATTGAAGGAATTAGGTTTTCACATATGTCTATGATTCCGTCGTGTGATTATACTCCGTTTCCTAGGAAGTGGGTCCCACATCATGAGCGGGTGTTGCTTGATTATATAAAATTACGGGATTTAAAGTTGTTTTGTGAGCTACAAAGATCGGTTAAAGAACAACGATTGTGTTTACCTCAAGACATGCTTGGGGAGATCGTGTGGGATTACAAGACACGAAGTCTCGGTTTAAAAAGGTCACGAGGTCCTTTCGAATCACCCGCTTAAGTTTGTTGTGTAGTTGTATACACATGTTTTTTTTTATTAAGTTTTGTCTGAAATATAAAACAAAAATAGTAAACCGCTTGATCAGATTATATTTTGGGTGTGCTGTGAACCTGGACCTTATGTGAGGAATTCTGTATATCAACCGTTAACTTCTTTGCCAAGGACTAAATGAGAAAATGATGCCATATTTGGGGAAATTGAAGGAAAATAAAATAAGGGCAAATTTGTAAAATATTAGGATTTAACAGGAAACACTTTGTGCATATGCCGTTCTTTTGGCATTCAGTAACATAGATATCCCTCGTGTTGAAAAGTTTTGTTGATCATTAAGTTGTTCTTATTCTATTGGAATTGCACTGTATAATTTTCATTAATTGTTCAAAGGATTTTCTTTCAAGCAAAGAAATGAAAATTTGCAATACAACCTTTCTTATTTATGAAATTTTATTGACGGCATATTTCTTTCTAGTTTTTATTTTTTAATTTTCCAATATTAATTAAATTAGAATTTTATTTTCCAAAAGTAAGTAGAAAATATGTTTTAATATAATTTTTATTTGGGTTCTTATAAGATTTTAGACAAAATTACAAAAATGGTCCCTGTGGTTTGCCAAAATTAACAAAGTCAGTCCCTGCTAATTTTTTTTGATGCAAATGGCCCCAGTGGTTTGCAAAACTTGTATAGATGGCCCTTTTTACCAACGCCGTTACTATTCTGCCATTAGGGACTGAATCTGTAAGGGCATTTTCGTCTTTTCAAGTATAAAGAGATTGAATTCGTGACATTTACTAAACCATAGGGACCATTTTTGAAATTTCTTTGAAAAAAAAATTAAATTGCTAGGGAGAGGTCTCGAACTCATGACCTCCACCCCTTAAATTACCAAAGTCTTAACCAATTAAGCTGAATGCTCTCTTGGTTTATTCTTTCCTAAAACTAATTTATATATTAACAAAATCGTTAAAACACAAACAATAAATAAATTATAAAAAACATTTTTTTACATAATTTTTTTTTAAATAAAACAAAATGTATTTTAGTCGTACTATAAAAAAAATAGTTTTTTACAAACAAATTGTATGTATTTTTATATATTTATTTTACGTAAAATATATATTTTTTGTCTTTAAAAAATATGTTTTCGTATAAAAAATATGTTTTTGTAAAAAATGTTTTTTTATGTCTTTGAAATAGTAATAATTAACACTACTCATAACATAAAAAATGTATAGATTCTTTTGGTCGCTAGTTCTAACCGTTTTTTCGGTTATATGTATTAAAAATAAATTAACAACGATTTTGTTATGTAATTAAACAATTTATACGGTTTTTTTTATGTCAAAAGTAGTGTTAATAATTGTTATTTCAAAAAGATATATCACTGTGTCTTTCCATCTTCATTTTAACCATATGATTTAGAACTATTTTTTATGATTTAGAACTTTAGATAAGATGTATACGTATCCGGTTATATGTATCTAAACAATTTATACGGTTTTTTATGTTTTTTTAAATACGTATTTCATCTTAATCGCAAGTTCTAAATCGTATGGTTAAAATGAAGATGAAAAGACATAGTGATATATCTTTTTGAAGTAACAATTATTAACACTACTCTTGACATAAAAAAAACCGTATAAATTGTTTAGATACATAACAAAATCATGTTAATTTGTTTTTAATACATATAACCGAAAAAACGGTTAGAACTAGCGACCAAAAAGAATCTATACATTTTTTATGTCATGAGTAGTGTTAATTATTACTATTTCAAAGACATAAAAAAACATTTTTTACAAAAACGTATTTTTTATACGAAAACGTATTTTTTAAAGACAAAAAATTATATATTTTACGTAAAATAAATACATAAAAATACATACAATTTGTTTGTAAAAAACTATTTTTTTACAGTACGACTAAAATACATTTTGTTTTATTTTAAAAAAAATTATGTAAAAAAATGTTTTTTATAATTTATTTATTGTTTGTGTTTTAACGATTTTGTTAATATATAAATTAGTTTTAGGAAAGAATAAACCAAGAGAGCATTCAACTTAATTGGTTAAGACTTTGGTAATTTAAGGGGTAGAGGTCATGAGTTTGAGACCTCCCCTTTGCAATTTAATTTTTTTTTCAAAGAAATTTCAAAAATGGTCCAGTGGTTTAGTAAATGTCACAAATTCAGTACCTTTCTACTTGAAAAGACGAAAATGCCCTTACAGATTCAGTCCCTAACGGCAGAATAGTAATGACGTTAGTAAAAAGGGTCATCTATGCAAGTTTTGCAAACAACAGGGGCCATTTGCATCAAAAAAAATTAGCATGGACTGACTTTGTTACTTTTGGCAAACCACAAGGACATTTTTGTAATTTTGTCAAGATTTTATTATGTTTAATTTTCTATTTTGTAAACAGGTACATCATTATATATACTATTAAATCACGGCTTTATGCCACTTTTGGTCGCTCCTTTTACCATATAGTTTGTGGAGTTCACATTTTAATTTGATGAGTTTGTCATTTTTGGTCTCTCTTTAAATTTTTATCATATTAGTTTGTGGAGTTCACATTTTGGTCCCCCAATTTCAATATTTTCAACTGTTAGCCACAAAGGCTTCAAGAGTTTGTCACTTTTAGACCCTGACATTTAACAAATGTGACATCTTAAGTTTTTGCCACATTAGTCTGTGGAGTTGGCACTTTTAGTCCCCCACCTTTGATATTCTACTATACGACCATACTTTCCTCAAAACATTATACACACATAAAAATAGAAACAACAAACGGGAAAAAAACCAAAGAAACACCGAAATATGTAAATATGAAAAAAAATCAAACCGTCGCGAAGTGCGGATCACCTTCTAGTTTATTATTAAATCTCCTCTGCTACTTTAATAAAAGAGTATAACTATTGGCATATGACATCTCTCTTCAGCCCCCTCCTAAATGTTTTCCCGCCCAAATATTTTCATTGTGAAATACCAAAAATACCTTTCTAGCCTTTTAAACTCCAGTGGCATTACCCGGTACATGTATAAGGGTATTACTGCCGAAACTCCAGTGACATTACCCGGTACATGTATAAGGGTATTACTGCCGGTACACCGAAGTGTATCCCTTTGACGGATACACTTTTCTTTCTAAGTACAAGATTCAGGAAGTTTCAATTCACTTTCTCTACTGTTCAACTCTTCTTCTTTCATTATGCGCGTGTAATCACTTTAAATCAAGAATCCAAGTTTGGAAAGGATAAAATTATCCCAGTAAATTATTAATTAATCATCTATGGATTTGAACTGATGGATTTTGAGCAATAAATCATCAAATTAATTGTCTACCAAATTGAATCGTGATTGGAGAATTAAAAACGATAGCTTGCGTTGAATCACACCAAACTCTCTCAATCATCTCTTCCCGTCCACTACTCAAGACACTAAACAGTGTCCTAAAGGACATAATGAAGTTTTTTTTTTTCCAGGATGAAGAAATGAAGACCACACTTGAAGAAAGCATCACATAAGGTATAAATATGATCAATTTTTAATTTTTATGATACAACTTTTCTTCATTTGGATAAATTTTCATAAAATTCTTTGTTGATGGGAGACGTTTGGATTCGGAAGTGCAGTAATTAGCTTCGACGTTTGCTATTGATTCAGTTGATGGGAAGGTAAAAACCGGTGGACGAGTCGACTAGGACGAGTCGACTAGGTGGAGGACGAAGGTAAAAACCGGTGCTAGCCCCTCCTGCTGCCACAAAACCGCCACACCTTCCCCCAAAACCTCCAAAACCGGAGACCCTTGAGTTCAATTCCGAAATTGCCCACATTCAAGGTCGAATTCCTCCTATTTCCTATTATTTTTCTGTTTTGGTGCTAATTTGGATGATAAATTGTTAGTAATTTTCAATTTTGTTGAGTGATTATCTTTGTGTTTTGAGATATGAAGTGTTTGTGCATTTTGTTGGATTGTATATGCTTTTTCAGATTTGTGGGAAGTGTTTATGCATTTTGTGTATGTTTTTCTAATTTATGTTTATACCATATTGGCTTAAAAATGAAATTTGGCATGAAATTGAAATTGGATATTGAAATTGGATGTATATATACGTTTGTTTGATTTTGTATTTAGATGTATAAATTTGTTTACATTTGGCTTAATTGTATGAAATTGGAATATGCAAATTGGATGTATACATTTTTGCTTAATTGTATGAAATTGGAATATGCAAATCGGATGTATACATTTGGCTTAATTAGGTCATTAATAGCAACTTACTTCAAGTAATGTATTGTATATGGTTTCAAAGTGCTTAATTTTGTTAGTGTCTTAATGTTGGTCATTACAACTTTAGCTTTAATTAGGTTATTAATATCAACGTACTTCTAGTAATTTTAATTTTATTATAGAATAAAATTAAATTAATTTTAAAAAAATCAATAAAAAAATAATAAATTAATTGTAAAATCAAATTAAATTTGTTTTAAAATCAAGTTAATATTAATATTAAAATAAAATAAAATTAGTTTAAAAAATTAAACTAATAACAAAAAAGAAAATATTAAACTAATTAGAAAAAAGAAAATATTTTGTAGTTTGGTAATTTTTGGAAAGTAAAAGCTATTATGATATGTTGGAAAGAAAATATAATGGAAAGTAGATGTATGTTTAAGTGTATTTGATATGTTGATATGTTGATATTTTGTAAAATGGTATAATTTTTGGAAAATATAATGCTATTATGATATGTTGGTAATATATTTTTATTTTTTGTAGTTGGAAATGCTGCAAACAATACTAAAGGACCCGGCCTGTTCTGCAGCATTGGAAGAGTGGTTTCGCTCATTGCCGCCACCAAATAATGAATGAAATGATAAGGACGAGTAGTTACTTTAGGATTTTATGAAATGTTTTGTAATTTGGAAGAATACTTTAATTAGGATGTGGTATGGATTAATATTTTGGATTGTAGATTAATATTAATATTTTGGATTGG